AAGAGTTCCTACCTTGTACAACAAGTTAAAAAGCCAGATATTCTCAAGTAAGTGCTACCAAACATCAACTCCATAGCTGTCACCCACAGGGCAAGTCATAGCTGTGTCCACCATCAGAATCATCCAGCACTACTGTAGGAAGTACTTGACCTTACAGCAGAAAAAATAATACCTTGAATCTGATAGGAATTACAAGTGGTTGGAATACTGGCAATTTGTTTTAAAGCTATACTCGTGTGTATAGACTTCAAATAGACTTCAAAACAAATTGCCAGGATTCTAACCGTTTGTGACTGTTGTCAGATTCAAGGTTATTACTTTTCTGCTGTAAGATCAAGTACTTTCTACAAGTAGTGCTGGATGGTAAGTAGTCAAAATAACTCAATTTTTATTTTCTACACAAAATTTATACCTTAGAATTTTATGGGAGAGAAAAGTTTCATTTCTCATTTGCAAATAGCACCTCTTCCCATAATTTAAAAAACATCTTGAATAAATAAGATTTTAATGACTATTAGAGACTTTAAACAGTCTTCTACTTAGATTTCTTCTACATAAATTTCTTATAGTGATGTCATAATATTTATATATACGCCCATTTTTCTACATTTAGTGTATACACAGATGCTTTTAAAGGTCATTAGATCAAGATGAATTTCAAGACAAATTCAAACTGCTTTCCAATAAGAGTAACTATCAAAGTCTTTGTTAATTTTGTGATATAAAAACCCAAAGTTTTCCTTTGTAATTCTTACACTGCTGTTTATTGGAAGAAAAAAACTCCTAGACTTATAAACTCATCCACCTGTAATTGTTGGTCTGCTGGGGCTGTGAAGCCAGCTTGCACCAGGATCGTCGTGTCAGTCACATTGATTCTGTAGCCAGCCCTGTGGGCATCCTGCACCAGCATCAAATGCCACATGACTGGTGCATAAAGGGCCATCTGCCAGATGGAAGCCACCCCTGAAGTCGCCCAGGCCAAAAATCATAGATGTGAGGACACTTGAAACTTCATAGTGAGAAGCCCCAAACTCCATATGACCATGCTTTTTAATGGAACCTCAAGTTCCCATCCTAGTTCAAGGTGAGATTCAGAGGATCAATAGAAAAATCTCCTGGGATTTCCTATCACACACCTGCCTCAGAGAATGCTGCCACCCAGCCCTCTGGCTCATCCTGGAGCAGGTCCATGGGGATTAATGGAACTTTCTTCTTAATAGAGACCTTTGGGAAGAAGATTTGCTTAACCCTATAAATTTAGGAACGTTTTAGGCTCCCTAGTCTTGGTAGATTTGATCTTAACTTCAAATCAATATGGTTATGATCTCATTCCTATACACACTCAGTTACCTAGAAGCTATCATCCGATAGGTGACTGAGCTTCTGTATCTTCAACATCATAACTGCTACAAAGAAGGCCAAGGGTAATTCCAGAGTACCTTGAATTCATTTAAGAGGATAGATTGCGTGAGATAACTAGCAGAGAGCTGGCACACAGGTGATATCAGTAAGAGTTAGCTAGTCTTTCTTGATCCAGTGGAGGCATTGGTTAAGCCAATAAGAGTAGAAAAAAGTGACTCAGAGACAGCGCCTCTACATAGCCTTTGAGTGCTGTGTTAACCCAGATATTGCCTCTGATAATTGATTTAAAAGATATTTAGCTTGTTTTGTGCACAATTAAGTGAAAACATGAAATTCCAATGTGTTTACTTCAACTTTATAAATTGTGAGCTGACTTGTTCTAGATTTTTTTTTAAACTGACCAAATATATAATAATAGTAATTCTCTCTTGTAAGAATTGAGGGTAGTAAATCCACATGTCCATGCCTTTCTCTGGCACCTGCAGAATATTAGGTTTAAGGATAAGGACCTGTTCTCTCTGAAAGATACAGCCTTGAATCGTAGTTCTACCACTTTCTGTATAAGATTTTTCTATTTAGCTCCTAAGCTCAGTTCCCTCCTTTGTAAAAAAGGGGAAAACACCTCACAGGGCTATTTGAGAGACTGATGTGTGGGGCCCATAGTAAAGGCTCAATAGGTGGTAGGTCTTATTGACTTCCTCCATTTGCTGCGACTGAGGATCATACTGGCCATATGAGGATATCAGGGTAGAACTCCAGTGGGAAATGAAGAGCTCAAGGAGACAGGCCCACTGATAAATTTTACACCTAGAAAAACTGCTAAACACTAGAAAAACTTCTAGGTAAATACATACCTGAAGTTCTCCCACTAGCCCAAGTACCTTGAAGTCTGACTGACTTTCACAACCTTCCTGAGCATTTTATGCTTTGTCTAACAAGTCATCTACTTGTTGGAAAACTTAAAAGTTCTCTATTACTGAAATGGACTAATGTGGGAATAGCTAAAAGGTTAAAATGGACGTTGATATGGCAACGTAACTAGTTTATGGATCTATGAAGTTAGTTGACTTTTTTGGATGGCAAAAGGAAATGAGTAGAAATAGCAAGAACCAGAGTAAGCTTGGATCACTTTCCAACACAGAGCACATGGTGCCTCCTTTACTGGGGCAGGGGTGAGTCTTCCTCTTACTTCCATGCAGTTTGTCTCACACAATCTCCCGGAGCACCATGAGGTGCAGGGGCAGCCCACGTTTTTCTGATAAGAAGCAACATCAGCTCTGGCAGGATCCACAGCAGCATCCTACCAGATAATTGGTAGTTGATTTAAAAGATTTTCAGCTTGTTGCACAGTTATGGTAAAGTTGACATCTCTCTGCAGGGAAGAGAATCCTGACCTTATGAGAACGGGATACTTGTTTTTTACACGAGGACCCACAGCTCATGTGGGAAGTTTCAACTGCACCTAATTTGATGAGCTGTGTCACGTGATCTCACTGTACACAATGCTTTTCTCTCTCCACATGAGGGGCAGCCTGTGAACTTAAGCTGCTCACTGCCAGCACCTAATGTAAAACAGGCGCAATTTGAACACATGAAACAAAACAAACCTTACCATCTGGCCTTTACCTGCTTATATAAGTATCAAATTCCATTCTTTCTAGGGACCCCCTCGTGAAGCCAAATTTGGGTGGGGGCCCTTCTGGAAGGCGCCAGCACATCTCAGAAAAAGAGTACAACAAATTAGCTCGGAAATCCTTGGTTAGATGCCCCATGTTAGCATTCATACACTAAAACTATTCAAACCAAACCACATAGCTCACTTCTCCATAACACTATTGTGAAGAGGACTCCCCCAACAAGTTGATTTTCCATGCTGTGGTGCACTTGTGATACTCATTATTAAGCTGCTGTACAAGAGAATACAACCTCACCCCTCATGAGGCATGGGATTTGACTTGCTGCAGAGAATCCCTTGGATAGGGGTATTACTCTGGCCTTAAGAGATGCTTTTTCATCTAGCTCAGCTTTTTTTCCTTTCCTAAGGGCCTGGGGAAGCCAACGGTGAGATTATCAGTAACCCAGAGGAGATTCAAAACTCCAGGCTTATCACTTCTTTTAAGGCAGTTGTGTACCAACTGTTAAAGCAAACTAAATATGGCCTGCGAAGGACTGCACACTTCTATATGTGAGTCTTTGTGTGGATGAACTACAACCTAACTTAATAGGCAGACAAGACTGAAAACCTAACTTGGGAGTGCGTTTCTGTAACAGTGGCTGTGCCTTGGCCAGTCCCAGCAGCCATACTTCAACCACTCCCACGTAAGCTGTGGTGTTCAAACTGTGTTCAAATCAAGCAAGCGCTGGGCTGTAACCCATCCAAGTTGCTTCTGTACGTCATTTCTGATTTAGGTATGCCACTTCCTTTTTCTGTCTATAAATCTTCTTCCACCACGTGGCTGCACTGGAGTCTCTCTGAATCTGCTGTGATTCTGGGGGCTGCCCAATTCGCGAATCGTTCATTGTTCAATTAAACTCCTTTAAATTTAATTCTGCTGAAGTTTTTCTTTTAATGAAACTAAACGAGCCCTATTCAGAGGGCATGGGACACTCACCTGCATATAGGTGTAGCAGCTGAGGAGAGATGCCTGGAGCTCCACATTTCCCCAGTGGTTAGAGAGGATGGTGTAGCCACACTGGGCAGCCAGGGGCTCATCTGTGTTTCTTCCTGAGCCAAACTGATCTGAAAGAGCTCTAGACAGCTGCTTGCCAAATGACCTTCTTCCTGTTTAGCCTCCAGGTGCTAATCCATCAGCCCCCACTTTACAGAGGAGAAAAAAGAAAAACTTGCTTAAGTTCACACAGCTGAGAAGAGCCGCAGCCAGGTTGCAAACCCAGGCAACTGACCCAGAGCATGCACGCTCAGCATGCTTTTTGGGGTTGCAGGTTATTTTCCATAAGAGCAGAAATTTTGGTAGTCTATCTCACAGACCCATGCCCCTCAGCCTCCAGGAAGTGCCTGGCATCCCAAAGGTGCCCAATTGGTGTCTGTTAAAAAATAAGTTACTATAATACTATGCGGCAGGGACTACGCAGGGCACTTGACAACTATTATTTCATCCATTCATCTCACTACCCTCTGGAAAATACATGGCATTGTCCCCAACTTATGGGGAAACTGAGGTTCAGAAAGGCTAAATACCCTTCTGGGACACATAACTAGTGAGGAGCAGAGATGATGTTAAGCCTAAGTCCAAAGTTCTTTCCATAATCATTTGTGCTTTCTATAAAATGCATGACTTCTTGAAGTCTTAGCCACCCCTAAACAGCTGTTTCTTCATGGTAGTCAACTTTAGATACATATGTGAAATTTACCAATTATGCCATGGCCAGAAGTCTAGGTCCCAGCAAAATAATACTCTTAGGATGGCACATAGGGCTGTGTTAATGCTACGAAGGCCAGAAGGTACCAAAGATTTATGGGAAATGTGAGGTCCTTTGAAGCTCTCCCTACAAAAGATAGAATCCTTGGACGTGGCCCAGACCAAGAAGAGATTATATGACCACAACCCCCCATGAGAACGGAGAGAAGTTTAAGAATGTACCTGCAAAATCTGTGGTGCTCACCAACTACATGAAAGTCAAGATACTTGTCTCTGACATGGGCGGAGAGATACTTGTTTCTCCAGGCTCATTTGCATAAGGCTCCCCACACATTCGAAGATCATAAAGTCTGCATCTGTGTGTGCAGAAGCAAAGAGAAGGAGGCAATGAACCTCTGCGTGCCACTTCTCCTAGCTCCTCCTTGCCAGGTGGACAAGAAAAGCCTTATCAGCAACCTGCAGCAGGGACCATGTCTGAAAGCCAAAGCTCCTAGAATAATCTGATAAAGAGCAAATTGCACTGTCAAGGCTATACAATGATTCCTTTTTCCTTCCTGCTTTGAGAGGTATAAGAAGTTCATCAAACATTCAGAGAAAGAGAGAGAGAAAGAAAGAGGGAGAAAAAGAGAGAGGCAAGTGCAAAGAGATACAGACAGAGACACGGACTAATCCCCCGACGTCTGTTGTCTAAAATGCCAGAACTCTTGAGGCCCTGTGGTCTGCTCAGCTCCAGGCCTGCAGTAAGAGCCACACAGAATTACCTGCCCCACAACAAGAGACAGAGCCATGGCACAGCAAGAAACTTCTGTGCCTTTCATCTCTGCCGAGAAGCTCTGCTTTCTGCTTGGCCTATCAGCGTGCAACTGGCCTCAGTAGGAAGTGTGACTATCAGGAGAATCTATTACAGCTGCTTCTCCGCCTTTACCCAGCAGCAAAGCAGGATCCAGGACAGCTGCCCTGCACGGAGGCCCTGGCCATCTGGTGATTACTTCTGAACGCTTCCCTTTCCAACCCACTCAGAATGTTCCACAACATTCAAGTAGAGTCCCAAAGAAGAGCTGCCTGGTGAAATACAGGCTGCCCACTTCAATTTGAATTTCAGATAGTACTTGGAGTATTGCAATATTTGCAATAGACACAATATTTGGAACATACACACTAAAAAATACCCGTTGTTTATCTGGAATTCAAACTGAACTGACATCTTGTATTTTTATTTGTTCAATTTGGCAACTCTATTGGTTTTGCTAAGCAGAAAAGAAAAACTTAGGATGAGTAAGAATATATGTATATATACATTTATGTATGTATTTCCAATTAAAAAAATTTTAACCATTTTTTATCAGCTGTGCAAGTTAAATGGTAGCAGGAAAAGGCCTGTAAAATGTTTGGCCAAGACTAAAAATCAGCTAGGGAGTGAGTAAACCGGAATATATTTGTGTACATTAAGGCATCTCTCTCTTACTAGAATGGGAATTTTTCCAAAGCAGGAATATGTCATTTATTTAAAAACTTTTAAAGAGAACCTGCTATTTACAAGGGACTAAATAGAACTTGGGTTGTATGAGTGAATCAAACAGTGAATCCCTTGCCTTGGGGTCCACAAATTGGTATCTTACACACCTGCTAACTCTAGCCCCCAGTCCCAGAATGAGGAGCGTTCAGAAAATTCATGCTGATTGGAACTTGCTCTGTTGATTTATTTATTCTCAGCTGCCAATCCTGATTGGGTACCCTGTGATCAGAGAAGGCTCGTGGAGCAGCTCGTGGCTGATAGGTATTTACCACAGCCCTGCCAGTGATGAGGGAGCAGCCTGGCTCCGTGATTAATGTGTCACAGAGCCTGGTTTTTCCTTTGCTGTCGGTGATGGACCACATGCTGGAAGGTTTGCTCTTCCTCTGTTTCCCCTACCAGAGACTCTCTTAAGGCGCCACAATGAGCAGGCAGAGCTGCCTCTGTCTGTAGTCTGCTGAGTGCTCTCTCCTCTGGGCTGGACTTCTGTGTTGGCCTGGATGGTCTCTGAGGGCTGCGTTAGCCTGGGTGCCCCATGAGTTTTTGTTAAAGAAGTCTTCCTCCTGCAAGGGCTGTGATCACTGAGCTGCAGCTTTTGCAGAGCCTGGGAGGGTCTGGCTGGAGCAAGGGTCAGTGACTACTGGAGGCACAGAGGGATGTCTTCTGTAGCTTGGGACTCACTGGCAGCGCACCATCCAATCTCTTGTTACAGATGCTAAAGTACAATCGCAGGGAGAATTTCCAGGATCTAGAACATCCTTCACCAACTGAGGAGCATTTATCGGGGCCCCAGGAGTGGCTCCTTAGAGGGCAATGTGAGTGCTCATTTGGAGACAACTGAGGGTGAGCTGGAGCCATTCTGGCTGAGTGTGTAAAATTGATCAAAAATAAGTGGAAACTGTCCCAACTGACGTCAGCTGATGACACCATTTCCAGGGGTGGGAGGGAACTGTAGCTTGCAGGTCTAGTATCTCGGAGATAACAGGCCTTTGGGGTCATAAAAGACTGCGCCTAATTCTTGGTCTTAACACCGTTGGCTGTGTGACCTTGGAAAAGTCATTTAGTTCTTTTGAACTGAAGTTATCTATAAAGTAGCAAGTTTCTCTCTCTCTCTCTCTCTCTCTCTTTCTTTCAAGGTCTCACTCTCTCACCAGGCTGGAGTACAGTGGTGCCATCATGGCTGACTGCAGCCTTGAACTCCCAGGCTCGGGTGATCCTCCCTCCTCAGCCTTCTGGGTAGCTGGAACTACAGGCATATGCCACCACACCTGGCTAAATTTTTTGTATTTTGTGTAGAGACAGGGGTCTCACTGTGTTACCGAGGCTGGTCTTGAACTCCTGGGCTCAAACAATCCATTTGCTTCGGCCTCCCAAAGTGATGGGATTACAGGTGTGAGTCACTGTGCCTGGTTAACAGATTTCTATGCCACAGGTTCTCATGTAAAACTCACCTGGCAAATTTGGGGCATACACTGAGGAGGGCATGTAAGAAACTCCTGCTCTCCTCCCACCCCCAACTCCTACCTGGAAGAATAAAGATTCCTGAAAAATTGTGTGTGCATGTGAGAGGGAGAGAGAGAAAGAGAAACTACTGAGTGTAAAATAAGTGATCGTTTCTCAGTTAATGATTTCAGTGTTTTGTGCAATATTTAGTGTATATTTAAAAAATGCCTGAGTGTTAAAATTGAGTTGTCTTGTGCAGTTAAGTGAACAAAGAGGGATAGGCTCACATACTTACTGTGCTCATGAAAAGCCTTTTGGTAGTAAATGTAATAGAATGGTAACAGGATTATTTCTGCATGCGGGATTATGAGTCATTTTAATATTTGGATGCGGCGATTTTGTGCAGATGCAATAGCAGAAGTCGGCCACACAGGGGAGCCTGTTGCCCTCTGATGGCTTTTGGGAGGTGCTCCGGAAGCCACTGGCACCCAGCCTCTGCGCTCAGGGGATCCTGCTTTAGTCCCAGTCCCTGAAAAGGCCCCCTGCTGAAATAAAACCTGCCCTAAGCCGTCCTTGATAACATTAGCTGGTTCTATTTGCAGAAGGCAAAATGGTATTTTCAGGCCTGAAGGAGGTCATGTTTTCCTCCACTTAGCAGTGTGACTCAGTGGCGGGGACCAGGCTCATCTCATCTGCTTTATTGGGTTAGCTGTTGGGTTGAGTGGGACTTTTCCTTTGCTCAGTAGGGATCACTAGGGACATGTGTAAGCCAAAAGGCAGAATGGCTCTGCAGAGGGAAGGTGCCCACCACAAACCCGGGAGTAGGAGGCTCCAGGAGGTGCAGCCAGGACATTGCAGGAAAGTGAGTGTGGTTCCCCTCCTGCACACCTGCCCAGCAGGGGTCTTGCAGACCTGCCCCAGCCAACCCCAGCAAGCAAGAGGACTGAGAGGGAAGGCAGAGGGGAGGGAGGCAGTGATGCTGCTCTGCTCCTACTCTTTGGTGTGGCCAGAACGATGGCTTTCCCTGGGCCCTGCTGGATCCCTCAGGAGGGCAGGATTGCCCCTAAGAAAGCCTCTGTCAGGGGAGACCACTGAGGGCAAGGGGAAGTGGGAGACAGGGAATCTCCAAGCTCACTGGAGGCAGGGAGAGGCCCTGTCAGGTCCTCTGAGGTGAGCCCCAGCAGGAGCTTGTCCCCCTCATGCCATCCAGAAAAACACCCCCAGCATACCCCAGCCATGCAGTGGCATTGAGAGCCATTGGTGGAAAGCAGAGAGGCTGTGGGTGCTAACAGAGGACCATAGCGGCAGCCGATTCAGTGAAAACAAAGAAGCAGCCCCCAAATAACACATACCCACCCCCACATACCACAAAAGGCTTGTTCCCCCCGTCCCTCCTTCCTGCCCCAATATCCTGGAGGTCTTGACCCTAAAGAAGGAAAGCGCAGGGGCCTGGGGAAAAACAAGTCCCCTCCACAGCAACGTGCAGCAAGGGGAGGCCCAGACCACACCTGTCCCCCACTCCAGGACCCCTCAGTCACAGACCACACCTGTCCCCCACTCCAGGTCCCCTCAG